ATATGCCTACGATTCACCTAAAAGCACAAAGATTGTCGTGACACAAGATTATTATAGAAACTCTACGACAAAACTTTTCTCTCAATGAAGTTATCGAGTTGAGAATGATCGTCACGCTCTCCTTCACGTTTTTCAAGTCGTTATAATTACTAAGGCAACTTGTATTCAAGGCTTTTATTTCCTGGTAATTTTATCATATACTTAATAATAATTTAGATAGATGCTAAAGACACAAACTTGAAGATATTTGCAAATATACTCACAATTTTCGTTGTTGACAGTCAACACATGACGTGACATCGATTGGTGCAAACAAGTTGCAATAACCAACGTACTACGTCGCATGTAAGTATTCTTTTGTTAGAATCATTTCTTATAAGTTAGAAATAAAATCACATTTTATTTTTCCAAATAGTATTCCTATTGAGAAGAATGGTTATTTTACATATAAAAATTATGATAAATATGTATTTTTACAAATAATTCGTTGCGTTCAATGTAAATGTTATTTGTAAAAATACATATTTGGAAATATTATTTACCATGCAAACATTTACATTGAACATGCAACGAATTATTTCTAAAAATTCATATTTACCATAATTTTTATATGTCGTTGCTGAATTATATTTTACATATAAAAGAAACAAAAATCAACAAGCTTTTCTTTTTTTTTATTGCCAAGTTGACTAACTATTATGATCACCAAACTAATAAATAGGATATTAATGTATTTGCAATTAAATTCCATTATTATAATGCACTAGCAAAACGATGGCCCAAATATGATGTGACTTGTGAGACAGTCAATAAAGATGCTCTCTATTCTTAATAATGGAGTGTTAGTTGAACAGATCTGATTTGATATCAAAGAGTGTTGTATTAATGCTTGGCCATGCACAAAATATATATGTAGGTGTTAAATGTTATGAACACATCAATTTGTGCATAGGGAAGAACGTAGACTTTTGAGAGACCACGTGTTTTCACATATATCTGACCACTTAACTTAGCTGCCATCCGCATCACTACGTCTAACTTATTAACGCAAATTAAAAAATACTCAAAATTCAATGTTGCCAACTTTAATGAGGGCATGTGATCTGATAAGAGGGCCATATAATAGTAAAAAAATATATAACTACACTTAATTAAAATAGCTAGTAACAATTTTTTACCATAAGTAGCTAGTAGATGTACGAAACTAATAGGGTAGATTAAAAAATCAATATTAAAAAATATAACAATTCAACTAAATACTCAATTTTATAAATATCTAAATTAATTTACAATTAAGAGACTCGTAAGAGTAAATCATTATAAATACATTCAAAAGTATATCCAGAAAATTTAAAATATAAAGATTGTTAGTATATTTTTCTATAAATAAATAATATTATTAGTTTAAATAAAAATAGCATAGGAAATATGTTTTAATTATTAATATATTGTAAATACTTTTTACATTTCTACACAAGTTTTATAGTATTTTATTTACATATCTATTGATTTTTTATAATTTCTATTATTAATATAGTGTAAATATTTTTTGTACATATTTTATAGTTTCTTTATAGGGTAAATTGCACCAAACCCCCCTGTGTTTTGCTAAATGTGCGTTTTTCCCCACTGTGTTTTAAAAAATGCACCATACCCCTTTATATTTAAGTAATTGGTGCACACGCTCCCTGTTTTCTGTTCCCCCGTTAACGGCGTTAATTTTTCCGTTAAATCCCCGTTATACCCTCTGAATATTATATATATTTCTGATAAATTGAATTTATCACGATATATTGAATATATCGTGAGAAATTGCGAGAAATTGAATAAAAAAAATGCTACCTCTAAGATTCGAACTAGGGACCTCATTAAGCTTGAGTGTTTAATATATATAACATTATAGTAGATGAATGAAATTAAATTTATAAGATAATGTAAATTATATTAAATTAAATTATTAAATAAACTTATGATAAATTAAATTAAAATATAATAAACTAAATTAGATACAATTAAACGAAAAAAAAAAATTAAATACCTTATTATATTAAAGGAAAACAAATAATTAATATAAATTATAAATAAATAAAAATATTATAGTTAAAATAATAATATTTATTATATTTATTTTAAATTATTTCATATACTTTATATTTTATTATTTCTTTTAAGTTATATTATTCCATACATATTAACTTGTTTCATTATTCATTTTATTTTATCTTAGTTAACGAACTTTATTTATTTTGTATAACTTCAAACAATGAAATATAACTAAAATAAATTTTAATAAATAAAACATAGATTAAAATTATTTATTTATAATTAAAATGATTTACTCTAAATTTATAATTTGTTTTAAATTTTTTCTTTCATATTCTTTAAGAGTAAATCATATTAAAATAATTTGATAAATTATAATTTTTTTTTTATTTTATTAAATTTAGGATTTATATTTATTTTTTTATTTTTTCACAAAAGATTTAATTTAACCATTTTTATACTTTATTATCTTATATTAATATTATTTTATTTTATTTTAATTAGTTTATTTTAATATATTTATTTTATTTTCAATTTGATTATTACTATTATTATTAATTTCAAAATGTATATAATTAATTTATTTTAATAATTAAAAAATATAATTTTCTTAGTTTTTTTATTTCACGCTACTATATTAAATTTTATCTTACTTTATTATTTTTATGTTAATTTAATATATTTTTATTATTATTATTTAATTAATATTAAATTTACCTATTATACTTTATTTTATTTAAATCATTTTCGTATGATCTTATTAATATTCTTATGTTCAATAGTTTGCATAGTTATACATTTAGCTCAGTGGTTGGGTGGGCGTTTTTCTACCTTTGCAGCCCAGGTTCGAATCCTATCTCCCACTCAGGGTATAAAGGTAATTTTGTAATTCTATAAAATAAAAAAATGAACAATTTTCGCAGCTAAAGAAGGTGTAATACACGCGCCGTCAAGTTGGACGGAATGGGGGAACAGTGCACCGATTAGTTAAATATAAGGTGGTATGGTGCATTTTTTAAAAAACAGTGGAAAAACGCGCACATTTCGTTAAACACAGAGGGCGCGGCGTATTTTACCCGTGTACATATATATATATATATATATATATATATATATATATATTAAATATTTTTAAAAAATTAGGGGGGCCGTGGCCAGTGTGGTTCCGTATTTTCTTGTAATTTTGAGAGGCCATGATTAGTTAATTAGCTATTATTATTATTATTATTATTATTATTATTATTATTATTATTATTATTATTATTATTATTATTATTTTAAGGTGTTATTATTATTGTTATTATTATTATTATTATTTATGTAATTTTAAGGTGTTTTAGTTACACCATTAAATTTAATTTGCTTTTTTTTTTAAAAAACAAAATCATTTAATGAGATGTAAAAAAATTGATTAAGAATAAATGGATTGAATAAAAAAATTACTACAGAATTTTAATAAGCCAGTTACTTTCTTATATTTACAGTTAGTTTAGTATAGTAGTATTATTATATAATAGAATAGTTAAAAAATATAATTACACTTCGATTGACAAAAAAATTAACGGTTACCTTATTTCATTAATCAAAAAATTGAATTGGAATATACAATTTTTTTTATATATGTGTACATATAATTTTTTTAATGTAACGGAATTTCTTAAAATATTATTATCACTGTACATTAATATATTTTTATGTTATGTCCTGCACTTTATTTATTATTCATATTCAATGATGCTTCATAACTTACTTGTACAACACTCGTGTAATACACGGGTGTTTGTTAATTTTTTTTCTTAAAATTTAAAATTACTGATTAAAAGTCGTTGAAAATTTAAAAAGTTTTTATAAGAAAATATATACTATTATATATTTTAGTATGACATTGTTGCTTGTGCCGACTTACATGTGTTATATTATAATAATTTTTTTAACTTATAACATATAATTACATTAAACATATATATATATATTAATCGAGAAATAATTTTATTTTTTAATTAATTTAAATAAATAATTTTATTATTATCATAAAGATAAATATAATTTAATTATTTTATATATACAATATGGATGTAAAATCGAAACTCATCAAAAAAATGATTAATTTAGTACTAAATTAATCGTTTTAAAATACATTTACAATTCAATGATTATAATAAAAAATACAAAAGTTATTAACTTTTAAAATACATTTACTAGTATATTATATATGTAAAATTGATAAGAAATACAAAAGTTATCAACTTTTAAAATACATTTACAATTCAATGATTATAATAAGAAATGATATTAAAATACAATTAATACATAATTAACATATTTATATTAATCCGAGCCTAATTATTTTTGGAGTAAAATTAAATTAAAATTTATCCAAACCAAACAATGAAGCATGAAATTTTGACACCTAGAGTTCCGAACCATGCGAGTCTGTCACTTAGGATCAGCACATTCGAAAATTATATATAAGGGGATTATTCATTTTTATTTATAAAATATAATTTTAAACTAATTACTTAAACCATATAAATACTTCTTGATATGATAAATATATTTCTACAAAAAAAACTAACTAAAAGTCACCTATGTAAAGCATATGTAATTGATATGTAAGACCAACTCCAATTATGCGCTACTTTCTTCTTTTTGCTGGCGTTGTGCTGGTTTTTCTTCTCCAATCCTGCGCCAGATGCTAACTCTATTACAAAGATGTAAGACCAACTCCAATCATGCGCTACTTTCTTCTTTTCGCTGAAGTTGTGTTGGTTTTTCTTCTCCAACATTGGCCATGCTAGCGCTATTACAAAGATGTGAATAGTATATCGCCACATGTGGCGATACACTGTAGATGAACGCTACTCTTTTTATTTTTATTTTTTTAATTTTTTTGTTTTATATTATTGATTAGGCATTAATTGATGTATTTGTTATGTTAAATAATTTGGTGTTTTATCTATAGATGTAGTTTAGGTTAATTTTGTAAATTTTGATAGTAAAAATATAGATATAAATTTACCACAATAAACTAAATATTTGTATTTAATTATATTTTTACAATCATATATTGATACTAAATATGTGTAAGATAATGTATTAATCAAATTATATTTTTGGTATTAAAATAAATTTAAAATAATAAGAATAAATGTAAATAATATAGAGTAAAATGTAAAGATAAGAGTTGAAGATAAATGCTTCACTCTACTCTACTCTATAGTAGAGTAAAGTCGCGCTAAAACAGAGATAAGAGCTGGAGATGATTTAAGGATTCAACGTTACAATATTTATTTGTTAGAGAAAGCGAGAGAAAATACCACATTTATAATAGCAACTTTTGGAGGAAAAACAAATTGTGATCAATATTTTGCCAATAATTGTACATAGATATCTATATATTTATTTATATATATATATAATTGCTAGCAATCTATTAAATAAAAACGCATAAATTTTACCTCATAATTTATACCTACATGTCACCTAATTTTCTAAAAACTACTGAAGACTATTTGTCCGCTAACTATTGCATCATCGGCCTGTCTTCACTTGATTCTGTTAACTAAGACAAAAACTAAAAACCGTTACATTTTATATAAATTTGAGTAATAATTATATTTTTTAATTGTATCATATAATAATTTATAAGAATTAATAATTATATTTTAAATTAAATGATATATTAAAGTAACATAAATATAAAAAGTTAGAAAAAAATACCACAAGTACATAATTAATGTATATAGAAGTATACACAACACTCACATGGAGTGGAGTCTACTTGATTTTTTACTTTTTGGTAGAACCCACTTAATGGTGTTATGTACACTTTTATGTACAATATTATGTACATATAGCATTTTTCAAAAAAAAAATATATATATATATATTTTAAAACTTTTTGTTCAAGTAATTTATTCTAAAATCAACATTATAATATTTATCTAATTAAGCGATTTTTTTAAATAAATTAATTTATTTTAATGTCATAGTAAAATCCTTTAAAATCACATAAGCTATCAATATAATAGATTTAGTAATTTTTAGCATATTAATTGGATCTCTCAAAATTACAAATATTACATTATTTATTACATTTTATGCGATCAATGTAGTGATTCATATGCAATCAAATAATTACGTATTATTTATTTTTACCAATGATCAAATTTAAAAATATAATACCATTATCTAATTTAAAATTTAAATATTATATGTATAATATAACTTATAATATTCTATTAAAATTCAATACAATTATCTAACGTATAATTTAATATTATATTCATGTAAATAACTCATAAGACTTTATTTATCTTTGTGCAAATGCACATGGTCAAATACTAGTGAAAATTATAATTGTAGCAACCTTAATTATATTAATAATAAATACTTAAATAGATATAAATATTATAATTGCAGCACCATTAATTATATGAATAATTAAATACTTAAATGGAAAAGTGAATTATCTTTTTTTAACCTAAGGTTATGTATGCTAAACCTAGCTGATAAGTTATCTTTATTGCTGATAAACTAACTTACAGCCGATAGTTTATGTCTTATGTTTACAAGATAGGTTATTGATAAAAGTGTTTCGTAAAATTAGCTCAAAACATAGTTGAAATAAAAATTCAAATGGACTTATTTAAAAAGATGCACAATGAAGTTTATTAGATAAGCTCGATCTTGTTTATTCTACTAAATCAAACTTATTTGTCAACAAAATTTATAAGATACTGAAATAAGTTATAAGCTAGGGTATATGCATACCAAACATTTGCTAAATAACCATCTTGAGTAAATATAAGAAAAAAGAACATGTAAATCACACAATTGGTAGAAATTAGGATGCACGATTTCGCAACTTTGTAGTCGAATCTAAATCATTGTAAGAAAGAAAAATCGGAAAAGGGCAATAATAATAATAATAATAATAATAATAATAATAATAATAATAATAATAATAATAATAATAATAATAATAATAATAATAATAATAATAATAATAAGAAAGAAAAGAACTGACCAGAGCATGAGAGCGGAGGCAAGAGATAATCGGACGAAACCCCTGAGATTCTGGAAAGCCCTCCGCGAGAACCCAGTCCACGTCCTCCCGCACGCGCCGCAGAATATGTAGGCCAGCTGCGCCAGCACTATGAACCACCAAGACGCGTTTAGGACCAACGCGCCGCCAGCCATCCCCCACCCGAGTTTCAGCATAAGCAGCCAGCTGAAGAAAACGTGGAGCACCAGGGCCACTGCTGAGATCCAGGCCATGGCCATGATCTTGCTCTGCGCCTGCAAGAACTTGGCGATGGGGAAATTGAGTGCGTAGGCGAAGAGCTGTGGGATCATCCAGATGGCAAATTTGCCGGCGGCGCGTGAGATGTCCTCCGTCTGCCCGATCAGCAGCAGGAAAGGCAGCGCGAAGATGTAGAGGAACATGAGGATGAAGGCGGTGCAGAGTAGGATCACCCACGACCGCTGCATATATATTCCCAGCATATCTACTTGCCCAGCGCCGTACGCCTGCCCGCACAGGGTCTCCAGAGCGCTTCCCATTCCCAGCTGTGAGTGAGTTTTAATTCAATTGGAATCAAAATCAATCATAAGACTTTTACAATCAAGCAAACTATAATCTATAGCTGCACACAGTTGAATCGAGAATCAAAATCCAAAAAGTTCACTTTTTCATTTCGGATCTATTAAATAATCAAATTGGGGGAAATTAAATACCATAACACCGAAGGATAGTCCGGCGATGACAGAATTCTCGATGGAGAAGGCAGCGAGATCTAGGGTGCCGACGTGGCCGGCGAAGGTCTGGGTGATGGCGCCGAGCGAGTACTGGCAGAGGGAGGTGAAGATGGCGGGGCCGGCCAGATACCACAGCTTCTTGGACTCCCGTGCGAATGCTTTGGAGAACTGGCGGGCGCTGGAGATCGGAGGGATGTCGTCACCATCGTCAACGAAGGAGGTAATGAAGGAGTGGGAGGTGACGAAGGAGTGGGTCGACCACCGGTAGACGAGGTAGTCCTGCACCGACAGTTCCGGCTCCGCCTGCTCGTCCTCCGCCGGCGCCAGGAGCGGTCGTTTAGAGGCGTTCTCCATATCTATGCACACCTTCTATATATTTCTCTCTCAACTCTGCCTTCTGGGCTTTGTTCTTTTTGTTGAAAAAGTTTTTTCTCTCTCGATTGATTTGGGGTTTCTTCTCTTGGCTCTGATGATGTTGAGGCTTATTTATGGTGTGGGAACATGGGTTCACGGTCAATTGGAGCCATAAAAATTAGTTCTAATTCAATTTGTGTGCATCATATAATATAATAATCAGTATAAGATTAATAGTAAGTAGTCTAAAATACTCCGCTATAATTCTATGTTCTAAAGTAAAAGAAATAATTAGACACTCTTTGAAGATTATGTGACCTCCTATTGACTTTTTGATATAAAAAGTACAAAGATATTTGATTTATAATATATGAAAAAGTTTTAAGTATAAAACTTGTATATAGATAAGACAGTTTTGCTATGAAGCCAATAGTTGGGTGGTGTCAACCTGAATTCAATAAATAATCTATTATATTTTTTGATTACTTAAATAACACTAATATAATTTTATTAATATGGTAGATTTATTTATTGTATATATAAGGTTGACTTCTAAGCTAATTGTTGGCTTTATAACAAACCGATAGATATGGTAGATTTATTTATTGTATATATAAAGTTGACTTCTAAATATATTAGAACGCAAAATGCAAATGGAACACCGGACACCGGTGAAGGATTCAAATCGTGAATCGCTATTTACCGCACCCCCTATTACTAGTCACCGCCCCCCAATTACGAAAATACCCTTTACTCCTTTTCTCTCTACTCTCTCTCTAATCTATCTATCTCTTTAAAACAGAATCTTCAACGAGCCATACGAACATCAAAAAAATTCTGAAAAAATGTCGAAAAAACCCTACGGTCTCGGCAAAGCGTTCTTCTCTAAGAAGGTAATTTTTTTTTTACAATTTAAATTATTTTTAAAATTATTTTTAAAAATTCTGGATCCGCGTCCGGTCCGACGGGCCGTGCGGCAGTGATTCCCGTACGGCCCGTGGGGCGACCGGTCTGCTTTACCGGTCGCCAAGTAAACCGTGCGGCCAGACCGGGCCGCACGATCGGCTGGGCTGCCGTCTTCGGGGGCCGGACGTATGGTGACTGAACCGGCCCCTCCGGCCGGTCACGAGCCGGTCGGACGTTCTTTTTTTTTTTAAATTATATTTAATATAATAAAAATAATTATACTAATAATAATTAATAAATATTATAATATAAAAATAATAAAAAAACGTAAAATAAATATAATAACAATATTTATGAAATAAAAGAAAAAAATATTACATTAATAAAGAAAAAAAATATTATAATATATTTATTTGAATATTAAAAACTAAAAATATTAGCATAATAATAAATATAATAATAATTATAATATAAAAGAAAAAAATATGACATTAATAAAGTAAAAAATATTATAATATATTTATTTGAATATTATAAAATTAAGATATTAGCATTTAAATAATAATAGTTATAATATAAAAGAAAAATAAATATAAAATAAACTGGTTAGGTTATAAAATTAATATATTAACATTAAAAAATATATATGTAATATTTTCAAAATATGTATATAATTTATTATAAATTTGTATAAAAGCATATATATATATAATAATATTTTTATATAAATGAATATATGTAATTATCGTATTATATAAAATAAAAAAAAAATATTTACTAGTTATTACTTTAAATTGTTCATTTAGGGTATTCGTATACCTGAACAAGCTGACCGTGACGACCCGGCCGACAATATTATTCACGGTTCTGGAACCTGACACGTTATAAGTTGGGGAATAAATGCGTCCGGTCGTCGCACTCGGGAGGAGGCGGTCAAAGAGGCTCGGATGTTACAAACTGGTCAGGTTGGCCAGTCAGGCAGTTCGAGACTCCACGCACTAGCCGTACCGGTTGGTCAGCAAGGGTATGGCCAGGCAGGCAGTTCCAGAGTCCCCGTCCCCGGACCATTACTGTACGATCAGGATCAACAGAGATATTATTATGCTGGCCAGGCAGGCAGTTCGATACCCCGTGCACCAGCACCGTACGGTCAGCAGGTATATTATGTTGTTGAGTCGGTAGCCCAGACGGAGCAGTCTTCTGACGAGTCCGCATCATATGACGATGCGTACGATATTTCTTCTCCTGGACTCCCACCACAGCATACACCTCCTGCTCAGCATACACCTCCTGCACAGCATGCGTCTCCTGCACAGCCTGCGGCTCCTGCACAACCTACGGCTCCTGTTCGGCCTGCTATTCCACGACAGGATGGTGGGCGTTTTGCTAGCACTGGATCCTCAGGTAATTAATTTAAGTATTTTTATTTCGTTTGTCATTAATATTTCGACTTAACCGCAACAAATTATCATTACTGTTAGTTACATTATTTCAATTATGCATTTATATATTTGTCTGTTCTATTCTAATGTAGGTACTAGCAAACGATCTAGGACTGATGATGGGGCAGACTGGATCGTTAGAGGTCCAATTCCCGGTGGGCCCATGGATGGGAGTGTGATCCCTAGCTTTCTAGGGCACGTAGCCTCCCGAATGAGGAATGGACAGATGCGAGACTTACTGAGATGCCAGAACAGACAGCGAGCTGTGGAAAATCTGAAAGTTTGGCGAGGTGAAATGTCTGCCGAGGCACTTGATCTGATTAGACAGACCGGGCTGTCACATCTGGCAGACTCTATGCACGTCCACTTGGACACTCCACTGATTACTGTATTTGTGGAGCGATGGCAGCCTGATACTAACTTGTTTCACCTGCCTTTTGGTGAGATGAGCATTATGTTGCACGATGTCCGGGCCATTTTGGACATTCCTGTTGAGGGAGCTGTGGTCGTTGAGGACCCAGATTCAGAGGCATGCCAGGCTCACTGCATGGAGATACATTCAGTCACGAAGCCTAACCTAATTGCGTCGTTGTGGCAGCGTGGTTCGGTGGCCGAAGCCTCTGTTGGGGAGATATTCAGGGGTAAAAATAAGTTGGCTTCAGATGAGGTTGGTGCCTGGATTTGGGTGCTGCTGGCTACCACGTTGTTCATGGACAAGAGTGGTAGTAGAGTGAGTCCGAAGCTCCTACATGAGGTGCTCGACGGCTTGGATGCCATTGGAGTTTACTCCTGGGGGTCGACTACGCTGGCATATTTATACCAACAGTTAGGTATTGCCAGCAGAGGGGACTCCAAACAACTTTCCGACTGCTTGACTCTTTTGCAGTCTTGGATTTACGAGTATTTCCCTGATGTCTGACCCCATGAGGGGCGCTTACCCCTCGGACCTAACGAGTCCGCACGAGCTCGGATGTGGAACGCGGGGGTGGGTCATAGGTCAGAGGACCGTCTCATATCTATCCGTCGGAAGCTGGACAGACTCACTGCCTCCAGTGTACGTTAAGTTATTTTATTTAGTTACTTTTTATTTAAAATAATATAAATATTCTTATAAATGCTTTTATGCCATTGTGAACAGGTGCAATGGATGCCATATAGCAACTCCTGGCCATATGAGATAGAGCAGAGGACTCTTTATTGCGGACTGATTCGGTACCACGATATTGTCGAGCCGTACTATCCTGTACGGTTTCTGCGGCAGTTGGGGTATGTCCAGACCATCCCTCCCCCTATACAGACGCCGACCGCTGTAAACCGTGCTTAGCATGTAGTATAGATGATTAATTAGAATTTTATACATGATTAATTAGAATTTTATAATCATGAATGATTAACTAACAATTATTATAATCATGAAAAAAATGTTTGATCAATTACTTATAATTACCGTGGTTGGCAGTCGAGGCTCTACAAAGTTGAGCATCCTGATGCCGGCGCAGTAAATATGTGGAACCAGTTCCCGATGTCGCAGACTGTCAACACTAGCATGTGTAGGGTCAACACAGATGATCGAGGGGAGGCGGATGTGGAGTACTTGTTGTGGTACCGTCGGGTTTCCCATCCTACTGTCTTGGGTGAGAATCTTCCTGACGAGAGCGAGGTCCCTACGCGTGGGAACACCGACTATGTAAGTCTTTCGCAAACTTTTAATTAATAATGTTTGATTAGAATAAATTTTATTTTAATAAATAAAGAGTATATATTTTTATTCTTCAATTCTCTTTTGTAGTGGATGGACCGTGCTTTCAGCCTTACCTCGAAGACTCTGCGGGTTTAACAGCTCATGATCCTCTGCAGGCGGCGCAGTTATCAGATGAATTGGCTAAGCTTAGGTTGGATTACGCCAATTCTAAATAAATGTGTAATGATGTTTTTTTTTTTGTAAGACATTATGCGGATTGATGTGCGTTATTTATTTTTATTAGACTACACTCAAACTCAAATATTCCATAATAATAATGTGTGACTCGCGAGAAAAATAGAGACCCTTGTGGGTTAAGTCGCTACTCGCGACATCCTTTTTTTTTAACAAGAATAAAATGAAAGCATATAATGAAAAAACATAATCATGTAAAAGTTCCCAACAACATAAAACCGAACACCGAATAGAAGAAAATTTCACACATCAGGGGTTATTTTGAGCATCAAAACATAATTGCAACCTAGGCTGGTACTGATTCTCCCAATTCTCAACCGAAGCAGCTCGGTTACTGAACCACATACTATGAATAAGCGGTAATGGACAATCCGGAGTCAAATCTAACCGAATGTAGTGTGCGTAGCTACCAAGATGACATATGCAAATCTCACGGCGTGGCCCTGTACTCGTTGATGCTGCAGCAAGCGGCAATACTGTGCAGCTGAACTGGTTGGACATACGACCATCGCGACCAGAGCTTAAAAGAACAACAACCACATTAAATAGGGTTGCAACAGGGTAGAGGTCGCATGGAGTGTCCATCCAGTGACCCTGGCCACAAGCGCCCCCGTCCCACCTTATAAAATAAAAATATTAGCATTTGAATAATAATAATAATTATTATTATTATTATAATATAAAACAAAAATAAATATAAAATAAAAATATTAGCA